AAGTGGGAATGGACCTGTCAACCCGGATCCTGTCTGACTCTCCGTCTATCTCTCCGTGGAGATGGGGTATGCCAAATGGGAGAGATACGAGGGGTGGAGGGTGGACGTTGAGGTGATGGGGTATCTGCTAGGCCTAATTTGCCAAGATTGCTCTACCTTCAGAAGGGGATGTAGCTATATATGTGCTCCCATTATGTGGAACTATCAACTTAAAGGTAAAGCCCCATTTGTAGCGGATACGAGCTGAGAACAGGACCGTTGTGACTTCTTTCATTTTTCTACGCTTCTCCAACGTGGCCGGGGAAACATCCGGAAAGATTTGTAAGACCGAGCCTGCAAAGGAGATCGTTGGGGTATTGCGAGCAGCTCGGAGTATTTCTTCTTTGGTCAAAAAGTCCCTCATGCACAGGACAATATCCCTAGGCGGCTTGTCAGTAGGAGGTTTAGGGCGCAGGGCTCTATGGATGCGGTCACAGGCAAAAGACCCAGGGTCACGATCCGGGAGGAGTGATTGAAATAATTTGGTCACGGTTAAGGAGAGGTCAGACACAGACTCCGGGATTCCCCTGATTCGCAGATTATTCCTGCGATTGCGATTATCAAGGTCCTCAACCTGCGCCTGTAGTTGAAAAAAGGCTGTTTGTAAATGATCATGCTCTCTGGAAAGTTCACCATAGGCCAGGCTAAGTTCATCGTGTTTGGTTTCTAAGCGGTCTGTCCTGGAGCCCAGCGTGGCTATTTCCTGAGAGAGAACATTAATGCTTTTATGCAATTCTGATTGAAATTTGGCGGCCAGTTTGGCGTACATGGTTTCCAAGCAGGACTCCAAGTCTCCTTTTGTAAGTTGCTGTGTATTTTCATTGACCAAGGCTGATAAAGGAGCTGTGGTATCCTGTGTAGGATCGGACAGGGATGCTCGCTCTGTATTGACTGGAGACATGTTACAAAGCTCGTGTGCCTTAAGTAGGTATGTCGTGAGGGACTTCTGGGCTTGTCCCTTTTTTTTCTTTGTGGACGGCATACAGGGAGTCTCCTGGGGTGATCAACTTAAAGTAGGATAATGAATGGAGATTATAACCCCAGGGGACCTATATCGCCCAAAATAGGTTTAGGGTTGTAGTTACATGAATGCGGTTAGATCCGTCTGCGAGGGCATTATATTGTAAAAATATTTAACAAGCCATGCAAAGGTAGAGAGGACATAGATCATAGCAACCCGCAGAGATATCACACTGGAGCAGGATGATGGCACCAGATCCCAACTTAGGACACAAGAGGGACAAGTGGGAAGCAGAGGACCTCCAGCACCGAGCACAGTGCCCTCCAGGGAGACACCCCACGGGGCAGTATCTAGACCATTTGTTAAAGGTAATTATTAAGAGGTTATAAAATAAATTACCGTATCACCCAGTAAATGGTCTCCATTCAGTAGCCAAAAAAGGCATGCAAAAAAAGGGGGGTTGTGAAAAGAGATTCACAGAGAAAGCGGCTACATTATGAATAGAATGTGATACTCAGAAAAATTTTCCAAAATTTATGCTTTATTACATATACAAATTTGACATATGGGCAATCGCCCTGGTTTACCATCACCTCAGTATGAGACAATACATACAGACCTAAAACCATATAAAATGACACCAAGACCGGTCTAAATGCATGTGCAACAAAGACAATGACTACAAGAGTCTAAAGTCCCTGTAGCACTGGCGCATAGGTGAACACTTCCCAAAGGAGGTGTATACAAAAATTATACCATAGGTATACCATAAAACATGTTATAATTGTGTAGACTATGCTACTACCATAATGGTTATATCCAAAACAGGGAGTTTCAAAAAATTATACTATGGATATAAATATCACATGTATGCAATGCAGCAAGCACAGTATGCGTCAAGAAGAAAGGCCTATATATGAAACAAGACATGAATATCATAAATATGATGCAGTACATTCCTATGCCGGCACCAGTGGTTGGGGCCCATTCATCTGTGATATAACCAGCTGTTTCCTAGGGCTCTTGAATGAGAATATGCCCCATTTATTACCAGGATGAAAGGATAGATGCAAAAAGCAGCGCACTGCTTGAAATGGTTTCTTCACCACTACATGTGGACTACACACCACTTTCTGTAAGAAAAACAAGACACATCCCAATAGATCTTCTGCCTGTTGAAATACACGTGGTATATCTTGTTTCCTATATAAAGCACCATGATGTCCCCATCCTGTAGTGAAACAAACAATATGTGGAAAGTCACTGAAAGAGCTTTCACTCTATATAGGATGTATAGGTCATATAGATCACATAGGACCATATATCTAATGTCCTGTAACAGTCCACTCACCACCTGTGCAATGGATTGTAGGAGAGGAAAGGAAATCATTCATAGGTATTGCCATACAAGGCCAGGGAGGCCAGGGAACCACCAGGGACATCCGCCGATATACCGCGGGTTCCAGCCTCTTCTTGGCGCCTGTGCTGCTTAAGCTTGCCTCATGGCATGTGAAGATGGCTTCCTCCTTGTAGGTCAGCGTGCGTTCCACCTAGTGCGCATGACCGGAAGTGACGTATCTGACGTATGACGTCAACGCGTTTCGCCGATGGGCGTATCTCACTCAGCTTCGTCAGGACCAATGAGACAACTGCATTTCAATTTCCTATTTATAGTGGGTTAAGACCCACCCATTTATGCAAAAACTAACTTGCAGTTATTCCCAATGGAAAAAAAAGGGGGCTAAATACTTAGCACAGCTGCTGGTCATTATTGAATACAATTAAAAAGACAGGCGACTAGAAATATCAGAGAAAGGAAAGGCTTGGCAATTTTAACAATGCATATATAAAATCAGAAGGCCATAGACTAAATATACTGATCAGTTGAAACATTACCACACTCTTACCAAAAGATGGCGATATTAATAAAAGAATTACCAGGCCTATTCATTAAGTCAAGTTCCTAAGAGTACAATATGAGTTGCCACAGAGCCACCACAAGATGGCAATATTGACTAAGGACTCTCACTATGGATTATTTTATCAAAGATATCCAGGTTTCAAATACCCATTTTATGGTATAGTTATTATTGAGGGAAAAGAGCATAATTAGCTCAATGGTCGATCCTTTTACGTTTTTGGAGCTATACTCAAGTTTATATCATGAGGTCATCAATATTATTCCCAAATACAAAAAAGGTTTACCTTAATTATTTAGCATATAATCCAACTATTAGTGAAGACAGAGAAATGCCATAAGTTAGCCAACATATGGCAATATAAGGGTACATAACTATGTAGATCTATTTATCCAAAAATACTTGGAGATCACATTCCACATTTAACCCCTTTGGGTACAATGTATCAAGTTTATATATTCAGTATTTCTCCTTTTTAAGCAGTTCTCTGTCAAAATCACCTCTCCTTTGTGGAAAGTGCAATGCATAGAAACCTTTCACTTTTGTACCATCCAGTTTACCTCCATGATATTTAGCATAATGTTGAGCAAGATTGCTTTCAGGATCATTTGATCTAATATCTCTAAGATGTTCACCTATTCGTACTTTAAGTTGTCTTTTGGTCTTGCCAATATACATCTTTTTACAGGGACAGGTTAAGATATATAACACTCTCACTGTAGAGCAATTTATGAGACTTTGAATTTTATAGTGAGTGTTGTTTCCTGAGTCATAAAAGGAATCCGTACGGTCCACATATTTACAGATTTGACATTTTCCACATTTAAACATCCCCTTAGTACGTGATTTTAACCATGTTGTTTGTTTTAACGGTTGATAATCAGAATGGATAAGGAGATCACCAAGATTTGGTGCTCTTCTTGCTACCATCTGGGGCGTTCACCTACAATCTTACTCAGTTTGGGACATTGAGTTAAAATCTTGCAATGTTTTTCTAATATTAATTTTACATCTTGCCATTGGGCTCCAAATTGGGTTATCATTCTGACAGGTTGATAACTTAATTTGACCTTCTCATCCTTTTTGGGAGATAATAGATCCTTGCGGTCAGTTTGATATGCCCGTCTCCGAGCATTTCTAATTTGAGAGTTTCAGTGACTTTCCACATATTGTTTGTTTCACTACAGGATGGGGACATCATGGTGCTTTATATAGGAAACAAAATATACCACGTGTATTTCAACAGGCAGAAGATCTATTGGGATGTGTCTTGTTTTTCTTACAGAAAGTGGTGTGTAGTCCACATGTAGTGGTGAAGAAACCATTTCAAGCAGTGCGCTGCTTTTTGCATCTATCCTTTCATCCTGGTAATAAATGGGGCATATTCTCATTCAAGAGCCCTAGGAAACAGCTGGTTATATCACAGATGAATGGGCCCCAACCACTGGTGCCGGCATAGGAATGTACTGCATCATATTTATGATATTCATGTCTTGTTTCATATAGGCCTTTCTTCTTGACGCATACTGTGCTTGCTGCATTGCATACATGTGATATTTATATCCATAGTATAATTTTTTGAAACTCCCTGTTTTGGATATAACCATTATGGTAGTAGCATAGTCTACACAATTATAACATGTTTTATGGTATACCTATGGTATCATTTTTGTATACACCTCCTTTGGGAAGTGTTCACCTATGCGCCAGTGCTACAGGGACTTTAGACTCTTGTAGTCATTGTCTTTGTTGCACATGCATTTAGACCGGTCTTGGTGTCATTTTATATGGTTTTAGGTCTGTGTGTATTGTCTCATACTGAGGTGATGGTAAACCAGGGCGATTGCCCATATGTCAAATTTGTATATGTAATAAAGCATAATTTTTGGAAATTTTTCTGAGTATCACATTCTATTCATAATGTAGCCGCTTTCTCTGTGAATCTCTTTTCACAACCCCCCTTTTTTTGCAGTATCTAGACCATGCCTACATTTTATTAATGAGGTGGGTAAAATTCAAGGCATGCTATGAAGCAATACTGTGAGTGTGTGTGTAATGACCATGGAATGCCTCTGTCTTAGCTACAGGCTCGGTGGTTTGTGATACAGAAAGATCACATGACTTAGACAGCAGAGACTCTCCTTCTTCAGCTGGATTTTCACAGACCTCCTGGACAGAAGTAGAACCATCTGACGCAGTGAGTTTTGTGTTCATTTATTTAGAATTTTCACTTGTCTGAGACCCCTGATGTCAGCAGCTGAATGCTATCGCTCAGGGGACCCAAATGTTCATTGTGTTCGTCTAAAGAATTAGAGGCTTTCACTTTGCTCCAGTGGGAAGCCAGAGGTTAGTTAACCATGTCACAAGACCCCTTGCCCATATCTTTTCCTTTGGTCTGGGTGTGCTGTTGCAAGGTCTCTACTTATATCAACTGCTGGCAGAAATAGGGACCTACAGCAGAGACATAATTTTTTTTTATAAATCTGTTTATTAAGGTTGTCACATACAACAAAAACATATAACGTACATACAAAACTATAAGGCGATGTCCCTTGCAGGCACATCAAAAAACACAATAGTGTAGAGTAGAGAGGGAAACACCGAAAATCAGTAAGGTGCGGCATAGAGTGGGTAAACAATCATGTAAACAAGATTTACAACAATTATAGGATGCTGCCATAGGTTAGGAGGTCCCATGGGTCTGCTAAGAGTTCAACCAGAGCCAGTTGGTGACATTGCAGAGGCGGTAGAAGGCTCCACCAGCCATTTACTCCAAACCCTATCATACTTCGTAGGGCAGTCTCTATTTATGTATGTATCTTTATATAGAGGTAGGCTTTTATTCACCAGACTCTTCCGGTGGGAGGCCTGTTTTTTTCAAATTTAGCGCTATGGCCTTCCTGGCATAAAAAAGAAGTAAGAAAACTAGGGTGCTTTCTGCTACTGTTGGGAATACATTTTACACTAACCCCAGTAGGCAAACACTGATGGAGGGTTGCAATGGAACAGATGTGATTCAGTTAATCAGGGTAAGCACCTCCTCCCAAAACCCCGCTATCACAGGACAGGTCCAAAATACACTATATTGCCAAAAGTACAAAAGTATTGGGACAGCCCTCAAAATCTTTGGAGTCAGGTGTTCCAATCACCTCCATGTCCACCGATGTATAAAATCAAGTACCTAGGCATGCAGACTGCTTCTACAAACATTTGTGAAAGAATGGGTCACTCTCAGTAGCTCATTGAATTCAAGCGTGGTACTGTGATAGGTTGCCACCTGTGCAATAAGTCCATCTTCTGGGAAATTTCCTTGCTGCTAAATATTCCACGGTAAGCTGTTAGTGGTATTATAACGAAGTGGAAGCAACTGGGAACAACAGCACTTCAGCCATGAAGTGGTAGGCCATGTAAAATGACAGAGTGGAGTCAGCGCATGCTGAAGCGCGCAGTGTGCAGAAGTCGCCAACTGTCTGCAGAGTCAATAGCTAAAGACTTCCAAACTTCATGTGGCCTTCAGATTAGCACGACAACAGTGCGTAGAGAACTTCATGGAATGGGTTTCCATGGCCGAGCAGCTGCATCCAAGCCATACATCACCAAGTGCAATGGAAAGCGTTGGATGCAGTGGTGTAAAGCACGCAGCCACTGGATACGTGTTCTCAGGAGTGACGAATCACGCTTTTCTGTCTGCTAATCAGATGGACATGTCTGGGTTTGGCGGTTGCCAGGAGAATGGTACGTGCCTGATTGTATTGTGTCAAGTGTAAAGTTTGGTGGAGGGGGATTATGGTGTGGGGTGTTTTTCAGTGGTTGCGCTTGGCCCCTTAGTCCCAGTAAAAGGAACTCTTAAGGCATCAGCATACCAAGACATTTTGGACAATTTAACTCTGTGGGAACAGTTTGGGGATGGCTCCTTCCTGTTCCAACATGACTGCACACCAAAGCAAGGTCCATAAAGACATATTTGAGCGAGTTTGGGGGTTGAGAAACTTGACTGGCCTGCACAGAGTCCTGACCTCAACCTGATAGAACACCTTTAGGAGTATAGGTGGGACAGGGTGGGATTAAGCCACAAAGGTGCATTCGGTGACGCTACTAATTTCAGGTAATTCTCACAGGTCAAGCCCACTCTCCAGGCTGGCAAAGTGGTAAGCATAGAAGGAGTGAGGGAATATGGTGCCTGAGGACCTCTAAATAGAATAAATTTAAGCGCTTCCAGAGAGTAGACCACAGCCGCCTCTAGGAGCGTTGAACAGTTGGAGGTGTCTAGGTTTAACTACCAAGCTGCTGTCACCAATTGGGAGGCTAGAAAATATTTGTGGCAGTCAGGGAGGGCAAGCGACAGGGTGCATCAACATAGATAATTTATATCTAGGATTTTGAGGACCCCAAAGGAAGGAGGAAATAAGTTGATTGAGTTTAGCACAGACACCTGTTAATGTGCCTGTGACTTCACCAGGTGGCTTCACCAACGTTTGTTCTACATGACAGGTTAGCATGTTAAAATTCTCCAGCAATCCTCCATACTTTCCTGAAATATTTCATCTTCTAGCTTGTAGATTTGGACCCCAGAAAGGTAAATGAACAAGACCCGGGAGAACGGGCTGAAGAAGCAGATTTCAACCAACTGCAAGAAGAGAAGAACATTAAAGAAGAACCTCAAGGTCAGTCATTATAAACCAACAGCACATCCTTTTATAAACTGTAAGCAAAACACAGGTACATGTCTTCTTGTTTTTTCTGTATACAGACTTTGAAAGTGAACATCTCCTCAGGGAAGAGGAATCTCCGAGAGAATATGAACTGCCTATAAAATCAGAACCCATATGCCAAGATACAAAAGTGATTGATGGCCATGATTCCTCTGAGCAGAGAGTTCTCTCACCACAGCCCAATCCTCCCCCTCCCTCCCCAGCACAATTGAGCATAAACTGAATTTTGTATGTAAAAAAGCTCACAATAAAACTTGTGAATAAATATGTAATAAGATTGTTATAATATTGGATCAAAATATGGGTAATAACTGTATATTTAGAATATGCTTGCGTGTATCCAGGGAGTGTTTTTTTTCTGTCCTTTGACAGCTGTCATCAAGGGTCCACCAGTTTATATTTCTACTTACCTTTCAAACAAATTTCCATTTGTTTGTAAGCCCAAGTTATTACTGCACCTTACCTGTTCATTGATCCAGCCCTTCTCTCCCCTGCCTCCCCTGTCAGTGGTTGCTGTCCCTCTTCTGGGTTGAACAATTCCCAGTATCATCCAGACCCTTTCCCATGAGCCAATGCTGTTAATGACACACTCCTGGGTTTATGCCCTCATCCTTGGCTCACAGTGTAATGCTGCAGAGAACAATGCCCGCACATCACAAGAGAGGAGGAATAGGAAGACAAGTAAGGGATGGAGGGTACACTGCAATTTATTAAACAGGAATATCATTTATCTCTTTGTATTTTTTTGTAAGTGAACCAGCCTATGGGGTTGATTTACTAAAACTGGAGAGTGCAGAATCTGGTGCAGTTGTGCATGGCAGCTAAACATAGCCAATCATTGTATTTTTCTGAGTTAAGAATACACACTTGAATATAATTGTTTGTTTAGCCACTTGCCATCCAAGGACATCCCTGTATGTCCTTGAGTTGCAGTGGTAATACCAGGATGATGCTTGCAACTGCAGGCATCATCCCAGTATCCTTTTTTTTGGACGGCGATTCTCTTTTTTTGTAAAAGCAATCCTAGTGGCCAATTAGCCACTGGATCACTTTTACAGGCTTTTGCCGCTATGCCGGGCTCACCTGTCCCACTGGGGAAACGCAGGATTGCAGTAAGCGACTCCGCCGGCTGACCATAGAGATCATGGAGAACCGGATGGTCCACCGTGATCTTTATGGTCTAAGAAACCGGAAGTGACAAGTATTTTATCACTTTCGGTTTCAGCTTTGTGCTTACTGGCAGGTGCCAGCCAGTAAAGCTGCCATTCAGACTGATCTGTGTCAGATCGGGTGCTTTGGAGGCCAGAAGAGAGGTCTGGGGTCTAATAGAAAAAATTAAGAAAAAAAAAACTTAAACAGTGAAAAAAACTATATAAAAATATATATTAAACAAATATATACACTCTCTCTCTCTCTCTCTCTCTCTCTCTCTCTCTCTCTCTCTCTCTCTCTCTCTCTATATCTCTCTCTCTATATATATATATATATATACAGTTGTGTTCAAAATAATAGCAGTGTGTTGAAAAAAGTGAATAAGGCTCAAAATCCTTCTAATAGCTTTTATTTCCATACACACAAATGCATTGGGAACACTACACATTCTATTCCAAATCAAAACATGAAGAAAAATATATCAAATTTGTGTTGTTCCTCTAAAAAAAATTGAAGAAAAGTGATTAGACTGTTCAAAAAATAGCAGTGTTTGTATTCTTTTTACAAACTCAAACATTCACTATATAAACTGAAAAATGTTTGAAGATTTTGCTTTCCTTTGAATCACTTAATGAATATTTAGTTGTATAAGCACTGTTTCTGAGAACTGCTGTACATCTGTGTTGCATGGAGTCAACCAACTGCTGGCACCTGTGAACAGGTATTCCAGCCCGGGATGATTGGACTACATTCCACAGTTCTTCTCTATTTCTTGGTTTTGCTTCAGAAACTGGATTTTTGATGTCACCCCACAAGTTTTCTATTGCATTAAGATCCGGGGATTGGGCTGGCCACTCCATAACATCAATCTTGTTGGTCTGGAACCAAGATGTTGCACGTTTACTGGTGTGTTTGGGGTCGGTGTCTTGTTGGAACACCCATTTCAAGGGCATTCCTCTTCAGCATAAGGCAGCATGACCTCTTCAAGTATTCTGATGTATTCAAACTGATCCATGATCCCTGGTATGCGATAAATAGGCCCAACACCGTAGTATGAGAAACATCCCCATATCATGATGCTTGTGCAACCATGCTTCACTGTGTTCACAGTGTACTGTGGCTTGAATTCAGTGTTTGGGGGTCATCTGACAAACTGTCTCCGGCCACTAGACCCAAAAAGAACAATCTTACTTTCATCAGTCCACAAAATGTTGCGCCATTTCTCTTTAGGCCAGTCAATGTGCTCTTTGGCAAATTGTAACCTCTTCAGCACATGTCTTTTTTTCAACAGTGGAACTTTGCGGGGGCTTCTTGTAGATAGCTTAGCTTCACATAGGCGTCTTCTAATTGTAACAGTACTCACAGGTAACTTTAGACCTTCTTTGATCTTCCGGGAGCTGATTGTTGGCTGAGTCCTTGCCATTTTGGCTATTCTTCTATCCATTTGAATGGTAGTTTTTCGCTTTCTTCCACGTCTTTCAGGTTTTGGTTGCCATTTTAAAGCATTTGCGATCATTTTAGCTGAGCAGCCTATCATTTTCTGCACTTCTTTATATGTTTTCCCCTCTCCGATCAACTTTTAATCAAGGTACGCTGTTCTTCTGAACAATGTCTGGAAGGACCCATTTTCCTCAGAATTTCACTATATTGCCAAAAGTACTGGGATGCTTGCCTTTACATTGCACATGAACTTTTTTTCAAGTCAGTTTTATTAAGGTTTTTCTGTATTGTTTGTAGAAAGAACAAAGCACAAAAAATGTGAGTTTACATAAGAGAAATTCTGGCATGTGAAGCAAACATCAATCCAAATAGCATGCTATAAAACGTACAGCATTGAGCTGTGACTTTAGAGATTGTGCGATTTTGCATTTTCTTGTAACTCAAGATTCACCTGACCAGCACTTGTATCCACATTATTTATCTATTATGCAGCACTTTATCATATTCTAAATTGTGAGGTGGTGTAATACAATCCTTACAGAGTCAGTATATCAACCATGATCCTACCCTACTGGTGTAACTAGTATCTAGCTTCCCTCAGCAGGTCCTGGGGATAGTGGTGGAAGTGTTAATTCCCTGGACTCCAGCCACAGAGACCTTTTTTTTTTTTGGGCATCCCCTGTGTTTATAAGTTAGCTCCTCCCTCCTCAAATTAAAGTTAAGAGTGTTGCACCACTGATTATAAGTTGGAGATGTGGACGGGATCCATTTTTGAAGAGCAAGTCTACGCACCAAATATAGGGATTGGGTTCACAACATGTACATCTCAACAGGAATAGTTTAATCTTGGATTATACCCAAGAGAGCAAGTTTAGGATTCATCTACAACTTTGTGGAACAAAGTGAATTAAGGGTTACACACACATGAACTTTAATGACATCCCAGTCTTAGTCCGTAGGGTTCAATATTGAGTTGGCCCACCCTTTGCAGCTTTAACAGCTTCAACTCTTCTGGGAAGGCTGTCCACAAAGTTTAGGAGTGTGTCTATGAGAATGTTTGATCATTCTTCAAGCGCATTTGTGAGGTCAGGCACTGCTGTCGGATGAGAAGGCCTGACTCACAGTCTCCGCTCTAATTCATCCCAAAGGTGTTCTATCCGGTTGAGGTCAGGACTTTGTGCAGGCCAGTCAAGTTCCTCCACCCCAAACTCACTCATCCATGTCTTTATGGACCTTGCTTTGTGCACTGGTGTTCAGTCATGTTGGAACAGGAAGGGGCCATCCGCAAACTGTTCCCATAAAGTTGGGAGCATGAAATTGTCCAAAATGTCTTGGTATGCTGACGCCTTAAGAGTTCCCTTCACTGGAACTAAAGGGCCAAGCCCAACCCCTGAAACACAACTCCACATCATAATCATCTTCCACCAAAATTTACACTTGGCACAATTCAGTCAGGCAAGTACCGTTCTGGCAATCGCCATACCCAGATACGTCCATTGGATTGCCAGACACAAGGAAGCAGGATTTTTCACTCCAGAGAACACATCTCCACTGCTATAGAGTCCAGTGGCAGCGTGCTTTACACCACTGCATCCGACGCTTTACATTGCACTTGGTGATGTAACCCTATGTTCACATCTGTGCGGGTGGTGCTGCTGTGGATCCGCACAAAAATCCATGCAGCCGCACCATCCGCACAGAGAAATGCGGACCCGCGGGTGGATGCTATTAGTTCTAATGGCACGCCACCTGCACTGGAAAATGCAACCATACTGGGAACTGAGGTTCTCGTGTGGGCTGCGTTTTCCAAAGAAGTGCATGTCAAATGAATGGGCTCTCGTGCCTGTGCAAAACACGGCCCGCACGGCCGCAGAGATGTGAACCGGGGGTAAGGCTTGGATGCCGCTGCTGGGACGTGGAAACCCATTACTCCATGAAGCTCTTTACATACTGTTGTTGTGCTAATCTGAAGGCCACACGAAGTTTGGAGGTCTTTAATTATTGACTCTGCAGACAGTTGACAACTTCTGGCACTGTGTGCTTCAGCATGCACTGACCCCGCTCTGTCATTTTACGCGGCCTACCACTTCGTGGCTGAGTTGCTGTTGTTCCCAGTTGCTTCCACTTTGCTATACCACTAACAGCTTACCGTGGAATATTTGGTAGGAAGGAAATTTCACTGATGGACTTATTGCACAGGTGGCAACCTATCACGGTACCACGCTTGAATTCACTGAGCTCCTGAGAGTGACCCATTCTTTCACAAATGTTTGTAGAAGCAGTCTGCATGCCTAGGTGCTTGATTGTATACACCTGTGGCCATGGAGGTGATTGGAACACCTCAATCCAATGATTTGGACAGGTGTCCCCAGTATGGACAATATACTGTATCTTCTTGCCCATACATCCTGCAGTGGGAAGCGGCTGCAGCATTGGGAACATGTCATGGAGTTTAGTGTCACTTTACATACAATAATGACCTTCTTCTGCTTTCCAATGTTTAGTGTAGTAAATGTTTTAGTAAAAAGACATTTTATAGCTTTCCTTGTTCTTGGTGGACTTAGGCTGCATTCACACTTGAGCGTTTTGTAGCTTGAAGCTCGAATCTCCAAAAATGCTCAAACTTAAAAA